ACTTTAGTATGAAGCCGTGCATATTTGCAGATCGACAGATTCGTAAACGTCAGCGTTCTTTTGAATTTCATATTCATATATTTGGTTAAGTTTTTCGAAGGTGGCTTTTGATGGAAATCCCGAAGTGTCATCACAAAGACACACTTGTCAACAAAGTTTCCGTTGGTCATCAAACATGGTTTTCATTATCACGCAAAAAAAACCCAACTTCGTCAGACGAGTCAGATTTGAAAGCGACCGACTTGTCTCTCGGCAATTGTGGTAAAGAGCCATTTTCTTCTGGAACTATCCCTTTGAATATGTGTGAAAATAATGTTTCGAACTTTTGCACGAAACTCTGCAAAATGTAAGTTTATTTGCAGTTTGAAGACGTTAAACACATTCGCTGTTTTAAGAGAGAGAAAGTTCGTTCATTTTATAATTCAAAATATACCTGCGTCCTTGCACTATTTTTTTAATACATATCTCAAAATTTGGTATTTCTCCACCGGGACTCGTCACCATCCTTCCTGTTGTAAAACGTTTTCGTATCAAAGTAGATTTCTTTTTTTCACATAAATAATCAATTTTGTCTCGGCTGGGATGAAACTTGATGAACCTCGACACATCGTGTTAAAGTCTCTAAAACTGTATATGAACATTGACAGTGCTCAGGTCTCAGCTGCATAACGAAAATGAAATTTACCCTGTGAAAAGAAAGCCGCTGAATTCGTCCCTCTAACAGGACTCATGTAAACACCCTTCACGGGAAAACTCTTATAAGTATTGTTTCTCTCTTTTTCGTTCCAATCTACACTAGCGCATTGTACTATCTATTGGAGGGAAGAATGGGCAGTACGTTTATGAAATTTACTTTTCTTGGTCCGGCGACAGGCCGCCAAGGTGGGATAAGTGAGTTTAAAAACACTACAGGTCTCCACTATCTGCACCTGGAGTCTGAAAGCGTACTACTATTTGTCATAGTAAAACTGCATATCATGACTCCAATTTTATCTTTGAAAGCTTGAACTTAGAATAGGTGTTCCCATTGAGTGGGGAGAATAATATACGATGAGCTATTGGGGGCGTAGCCAGCTTTCCGACTTCCTCTAGGCCTGTTTCCTAACCAAATTCAATGTTCCCTATCTCGCAAAATTTTTCCAAGAATCGTGTCATAAAATTCAAGTGGGTAGAAAAACTCTTAGGCCCGGGCCAAGGGCCATGTCAGCTGGCTATGCCCCTAGCTATATTTGATAATATGATTGAAAACTAAATTAGATAATTTTGGTTTCCAGCTTTTCCATCAATCGTAGTTCTGGTTACAATTTTCCGCTGGCTTCAATGAGAGGGCTTTTAATTGGATCGTTCAAAGAAAAATACAAAGAGGTACAGTTTTAACCCTTTTGTGATTGACGAGCAGAACAAAGGCAAGTGAATCTTGAAGATGTCTATTCAAAAGTCGAACATCACTGACCCTCTGTTTGTTGGAAAAGCTACACAATTCTAACCTCCATCTTTCAAATACTACACGGAAATTTATTTCGAGCTTGTGATCCTTATCAAAATTATTTTGTTATTATTGCATTGCCGGCTTAGGGTAACTTTTTTTTTTCTAGTCAAAAGACAACAAAAACAATTTTATATTGCTTTGACGGCTCACTAACTAATTGATATAAAGCACTGGTTTCCTTCTGGATGACAATTATTTTACGTGCAGCCATGACGATGAGTCGGACAGATGAATTTTTCTGCGGAATTTCATTAACCGTGATAAAAAAAAATTAAATAAAAATATGATCCTCGTAGGCGAGCTGCAATTAAATAAATCTAAGAAAAGAGACCTGATTAAACATTTCATCGAAAATAAAAACCTGCAACATTGATAATAAAACTGAGTTCCTTAATTAGCAAAATGCAAACGTTGTGTTCCATTTAACTTACAATATACTATAAAGGATTGCTTCAATCTGAAATATATCTAGATACAGTAAGTTCTTAATTATAATTTTAATGCAATCTTTTGAGAGTTGCAATGTTGGGCTATTTATCTGAAGTAATACCTGAAGTAATGCCTGAAGTAATTCACTCGGGATAACCAAATGCTTGTATTTCCGGGGATATCATTTCCGCTGAGTAAACTTTAAATCAACAATCCCAAATCAGCGACCATTTTTTTCGTTGATGCACATCTGGTCAATACCGGAAACAAAAAGTGTTTTCGCATTTAAGTAGCCAAATATAAATGTGCCCTTATAAGTCAAGAAAGAAGCCCATGAACTATGCGATACCGGTACAGTGCTCTGCCAACTGAGCCCATCTGGAACTGGTCATTATGTTGGTTCGTAATAAACCCGTGAAGTGAATATTAAGTGAGTATTAAGTAGTGTTTATCACTGCGAGGATCGCTTTCATATTCATTTCTTAAACCGCAGTTCACATATATAATTTTCATACATTCATAGTCATTGATTTCTCACTTGACGGGCTTATTACGAACCAACATAATGACCAGCTCCCATCACTGCGAGAATTGCTTTCACATTCAAAATGTTGTTTTCAAATTTTAATAATTAAAATTGGAAGTAGAAACCCTCGACGTTCGAACTAAAAAGCTTTTGAGGTAAGGTGTTAAGCAAACTATTACGCACAACATGTAGGTTGTGATTCCAATTAATAGACAAAATTTAGTCCGAAAGAAGAGTAACAACAAAATATGCAAAGTGAGAAGCGGACGCACAAATTCTGAATCGAAAGCGTAAATTATAGAACTCTTGAACGGTGGTTGAAATGGTGAGTCAGAGTTTATAGCAGTTCCCCTTTATGTACAGCAAGACCAATGGATACAGCCTACCGCATTAAGATTTCCAAGTATGACTAGAAAATTTTTGAGTTTGTTCAAATTAAAACTGCAGTAATTTAAAATCTTTAGCAGCTCTCGACAGTTACATACTTTGACAGAATTTACTAAGTTTTAAACTATTTTTATTGTTGGGTTGAGGTTATATAGTCCATTTGTTGGCTTCCTTCTATTACCTTAAGCTGACTAGCCTAAAATTTGCCACGGACTCCCTAGTTATTCGACGATTGCTGGCAGCAATCAATCAAATTTTCCAATTCCTGATAATCATTGCAGGAACCCGATTTCTTACGCAAAATGAGGCCTTGAATGAGGTGTAATTTCACCCGATATTGGAACAGCATTGTTTTGAAAAAACACTGACTTCGCCAAAGTTTCTCGATGGTTTGAGTCACATCAGAACACGCCAGCAGTCTTTCAATTATGCAAATTGATCCATTTTGAGTTTTTTCTTTCATGATCATGTCAGCCATTGGCCTCAAATTGCCAGGGATCATTAGCAGATACCATAGTGATGGTTTTGGTATCTGCTAGCCCTTTGTTAATCATTACAAATTTTCGAGCTCATTTACGAGTCAATAGTGTTTTTCCTTTCAATTATCTTTCAATGCGGGGTGTTTATGTATGGAAAGACATATTTTTTTCTCCTCCAAGGATATATTTGGTACCTTCAGTTTTTAATCTTCAAGTTCATCTGAAGATTTTCCTCATTTTGCACGCGTAATTGTTCAATAGATGTTTGTCATGTAAATGTTTGTTTCCAAGAATCATAATTTTAAGTGAAGAGAGACTGCCGATTTTAGTGACTAAACCTTTGATATTCTTCTCATCAGAGTGGCTGAATGCAGTAAAGACTAATTAACAAGTGTTATAAAGAATTCAGAATTAATATATTACCAAGATTTGCCTTTGAATTAAAAAGGTTTTTTTTTCTCCTGTATTCCTTCATCTTTTCGTCTCATTTTCTCGACAGTTTTGTTATCGAACAAAAATTAAGAAAAATTCAGGTTGTAATAAGTAATTGTTTCTGTTCAAAATGCAAATTTGCTGTTATTAACACTTGCTGAATAAAGACTGCCGTCCATAACAGTCTCAATCATGAAATATGTTAGCAGATTATTTTTGGTACTTTTTAACTTTCTGTCGTTCTTTCGTGATAGCATTTTTTTTATGTTCCTGTGGAACTTCTCTGTAAAATTTAAAAATCCCGGAGCTTCAAAAAACTTTATCAACCTAAATCCATCTTGAATAGCCTTTGCATCACCTATCAAAGCTTTAGACAAAGTGCTCGAGAACTAATCCCGCCATATCACTCGTTGTTTGATTCCGACAGCAATTCTAAATGGACAAAAAAAGGATCATTTTAAATTCAACCAGATCTTAGAGATTAAAAAATCCGTGGTAAATGCAACAAGAAGACTTAAAATAGCGCTATTTCATTTTCTTGACGGCTGCTATATCAGCGTTTTTCTCAACACTTATGTGTCTAATTTATCGAGAACTCCAAGTGAAGCGGAGTGATTGAAACTGAAATAGTGTAGCGAAACTGAGGCGTCTTTTCCGAAGGAACTTTTCTTTGTCATGTTAGATTAACTGACCCAACAGCATAGATTACAGCCATTTGCTGGTTACTCACGAACATTTGACACGTGCCCCTCTGTGAAGAAACAGAGAAGCCTCTGTTTTATTACATTTGAATCGCAACGTTCAATGGACGACATCTTTTGTAACGTAAGTACCAGTTAGGTTAATGCTACATCAGAAGTGAGCGCATTTTTCTTTATACTTGTTGTGTATGTCTTTGTGAGGTGAGTTCGTAATGATTTAACGTGTGTTTTCCACAAAGTGGTTTTCCTTGATATACATGACTTGTTTATCCGATGTTATTCTTCTGCATAAGCGCTTGGGTACTTGAAAAATTTCTCGATACTTAAACATTTCTGGTCATATAGGGCAAACTGTCCTTGACTAATTCTTGTGAAATGGTTTGGAACACAAAAAATAACTGGCATGGCCTTACATTTAATGAAAATAAAGAGTTAATGAAAATTAGTGCAGAGTACCGAAGAGAAATATGCAGTTGTACGTGTTTCCCAAGGCTGAATTTATTTTTATCGTGCGCCGCACTATTTAGCTACTATCAGAGATCAGGTTGATTTACAAACCCTCTTCCTTTTTAGTCCTGGCAGACGAAAAACAAAATTTGAACGACAAGAGTGAGTAGTGATTAACAGGATGCTTTGATTATCACTTTAAGACAATGACTACGAAATCAGGACGTTAGTCGCAAGAATATATCATATATTTAGTGTGTTCAAAAATTCTCAATAATGATGGTATAAAGTGCGAAATAAACAGCTTCATCATACAAAATATGGCACCATAGTCATAGACCTGATTCAGAAAATCCATTTCTCCATTTGTGCGTGAGTACCTCTCAAAAAGAAACAAATGAAAATCAAAATTTTTCTCCTATTTAGTTTTTTCGTGAAGTTCACTCAACGTCTGATAAAGACAGTCATAGTTCAAATCAAAGTACTTTCAAAATATCATATTTTTTAAATAGAATTGGATTCAAAATAAATCGAATTCCTTCGTAATAACACAGAAGAAAGGTTAAGTCTATACACATCCACTGTGTGCGACAAATCTCACAAAGTTCTTCTGCTGGGCAAATTAAATATGACCTTCTAGGGATGAAAATACCGCGTTTATGTTAATTTAAAAGAGACCCAAAGAAAGTAACTCTCATTCGAATTTAGGCATACATCCTACGTCACCCTTTGAACATGATTTAGCATTTCCTGTAAATTTAAAATAAATGCGTATCATTGAAAGGGAAAGGTCTCTGAGAGTGGCAAAATATCTCACCAAGACGAAGACAAAAGAATTAGAAGCAATGACATGAGACATGGTCTAAGTAAATTTTAGCGAATCAAGGATTAGTATTTTGTTAGCCCCTAATGACTTGAAAAAGTAATCGCAGTTTGTGCATAATGAGGGTCACCTAAATTATCGTGTTTAATTTGAACGTTTGTATTTCAAATAAGGTTTGTCATGTGAGATGCCATATTTCAGACAACCCTCTCAAACCTCTTCTTATGGGTTCATCTTTCAGAAATGAAGGCGAAAAGGAGATCAAGATTTTTCGTCTATCTTGTAATTCTGGTTCTCGACGTTTTTCCCCATCCGCATCTCGAAACAAACTCGGAACTACTTTGTTGTGAGAAATTAACCAACAAAAGTGATTTTCGCTGCTGGAATGAAACATTAGAGATGAAGACCACAACGAATACGACAGCAACTGGTCAGTGTGTACTAGGAATGTCGAAGAAAACATGTTTTAATGCAACTTTGTTGGGGCCATGCTGGAAAATTCCAAAGGCGAGCATGCTAGCTCCAGGAAAAAGAGAAATAGATATAGGGGCATTTGTTCCTTTCCTAAAGGATGATAGATACGGTTACTACAATGCTATGAAAATGGCCATCGATATCATTAACAACAGGACTGATGTATTGCCAAACTATACACTGGTGTTGGACGTGCAGGATACTGCTTCGGTGAGTGTATTACATCATTTTAGCAAAATTGCTGCAAAGCCTTCAGTTTTTTCGCCAAAATATTTACCGAGAAATTTACATTTAAAGATAGGTTTAGGGACTTTTTCTGATTTTCTTATTTGTAATACTCGTGGAGATACAGATGCGGTTGGTAAAATATCTTTTTTTTCTCCGTAGCAATATCCGTTCATGACATGCCCGCCTAAATTAAAATCAACAGAATCTTATTCCTTTCAAAGTAAAGATAAATTGAATAACAATAAATGACGAAAGTGTATTTCACCACAAGCTCTAGCCTATAGAACTTTTGTTTCCAAGTTTTATTTCATTCACTTAGCAATCCAATCAAATTCTTTTTATTTCTTCACTTCGAAGCTTACGTAGGCAAAATCTACACCTTTAGCCGACACGCCATCGACGCTACATGAAAAGAATTGCATAGTACTCCCACTATCGACTGAAATCATTGAGAGATTTTGGCTCAATGTCCTTATCAATTAAAACACTTCTATGCCCGTAAATCATTTTATATTATTATAATTTTTTTATCGTTTTCCTTTTCACTTGCTAACTCCAATCTTGTCTGCATCCGAAAAAGATATAGAAATGACTTAATTCCAACTTCATCATTTCATTTCTGTGAAAATGATGGACATAGAGGGAGCTAAATTGGACAAAGTCTGGAAAATTCCACAAATTATTCTATTTACTCATATGATTCGGTTTCATTTTCTTTTGTTCGAGTATTTAAAGTCCTATTGATAGTTCTGCTTGTTGAAAAATGGCCAGTATTATGTCAGTCATATCTCTGTGTCTCTGTACTCTCTAATTGACCAGCTGTCGAGCGAGTTTGAGTTTGAATGATAAATACCTTAAGCGAAGGTTTGAACTAAATTTGCCTAATTTGTTTTCCGTATTTGAATTTTAAAAGATTCAATATTTTTTTTTTGCCTTTTCGGTTTTGATTCTTTATTAAGCAAAGTTCCAATTATTAAACCATTTAAATGCTGATTATTCTCTCACAAAAAGCCATCTTTGCAAATTTCTTCGGCTCCAGTCGTCTCCAATCCCTGATAGTAAAATAACTGTGATGACTGCGACTGGCGTTCTCTTCGTCTCCCATGGTCTACTAATGTAGATATCAGGCCTGATTCAAGCGCAAAAAAAACTTTCATAGGGACAGCTAAGAGACTTCCTATATTTGTCTTACATTTTTCGTTGGGATGGTGTCAGTTTTCGAGAACGAACATTTTTTTTTAAAATGAGCTTCCCCTTTACGGTTACAAGTTCCGGTACGTGATGTTGGAACAAATTAATTTAAACTAGAACGTGCCTCTTGGAATCGATTTCGGTCCAAAAAAATAATACGTCTCTGAGTTGGCAGTTAGTTTGATGATGAAGCATTCTATCCAAATAACAGTTTGCCTATTAAAGTTTTATCTTTGAAGAAAGTAAAGAGATTTGGGTAAAATTGGACAAAATATGGTGATATTATGCCAAATTTATTCAGGTATAAATAAATCTATCTAGAACATACGAGAAAAGGTTAAGTAGGGATTTCCGTCAGTAAAGTGAAATGCTGGCGTCTGATAGCCTTCTATCAAGATAAATACATTCATTTGTTCCGAGAAAGTCAAATAAATTGTATTTTTTTTTTGCGGCTCTTTTCATTTCTGAGATCATTGACGGATTACTTCACTAAATTGAATAAATGGACGGCAAAAAGGTACAGCACCTGTCTAAATAAGTCTTTCTTCACATCAAAACACTTTTTAGAACCACTCTTACATTGGTCTTAGACAATTATTTAGCTATCTCGGTGGAACCTGACAAATATGACTAGTTACTGCCATAACCAGGGAAGAAGCAAGGCATTGAGAATTACTTTCAAAATAAAATTTGTAACAACGGTATCCATTACGATTCCTTTAGTCTGTTAAATTAAAGTCGGTAAAGGTGCTTGCAAATTCTATATCTTAAATCAGTCATACCCAATTGGCGTCTGGAAGAACAGAGACAGCATTCAAAAGCTTTATGAGAGAAATAATGAATGGATACCATGAATAGTCAGTGGGTCTAGGCATCACTTACGATTGACNTCACCTGTTCAGCATGTTTCCTGTATTTCAACATCAGCAATCGAAGGAACAGGTACCAACGTCCTCTGCAAGTTACCAACATAGAATAATGTAATGCAAGGGAAGGAAACTGTAGGGGTCCATAGAGATTAACGCGCTGAAAATCAGATGGTTCAAGCCAAAGACGGCTTATTGTCTTGTCTTGAGCAAGACTATTTACTCTTAAAATGCTTCTTCACACCCTAAGCAACAGTGGGTGAATTACTAAGGGTTAGCCGTAGTGGACTAATGAGCAGAGGACACCGCGACGAAGCCCAGTACCAAAAGGGTATTAGGTTCCTGAGAAGTATCCCTTCTTAAAGGAAATGTATCCAGACAAATTTAAGATAACCTTAAAAAAATTATGGAAGGCTCTGATTCAATGACGAATGCATTTTTAATTAATCTACTGAGTTGACATTGTCATAATTTAGTTTCTGAGAATGCTTGTTGATTTAGTTTCTCAGAGTACTTGTTGATTAAGTTTCTGAGAGTTCTCGTTGGAGTTAAGAAACGTTTTGGTAACATGTTAGTTGATACAAAGCTTATATTGCCGTTTGACCAAAGTGTTTGTCGAGCTTGGGAGCCATGCGACTCGTTCTGAATGTTCATCGACACAACGATAACACTACAATGGATAGAAGTTTTCCAAAAGTAATGCTTCACCAAACGATGAAAACGGATTTAGAAATTACTGCTTAGGAAACCCGTGTACATTTACAATAAAAATAATAGGTCATTTTATTTTACTTAAAGGAGTTAGATTAAGAAGGGAAGAAAACAAGCGTATCCGTTAAATACTTGCATCCCTTCAACGTGCACTATTTCTTCAATCTTTTAAAGCTATACCCTTAAATTAAATATTTCTCTATCCTGAAAGGTCACCTTCCTTTTATTTGGGGTGGGGGGCATACCTCAAATTTCATGTTTTTGAAAGTTCCCCATCACATTTCAAACGAGACTTTCTTTTTCCTTAAAGAGCACCTTCGTGCCTACTTATCACCCAAAGAAACATGATATCGTGGAGAGAGAAAACCTTTATTGATTCGTTTTGTCCCTTAACACGCCTCTCGTTTGCCATATTTTGACGAGCATCAATAGAGGCAGTTGCATTGCTGGAGACAATTACCCTGTGTATTTCCCAATTTTTTTTTATAGAATTATCAAGATGTCGTCGCCGAAGCTCAATAACATAATAATCTTGGGGTGCATACTTTGTTACGCCTCAGTCGTTCTTCTTGGATTAGATGCGCGGTTTCTCCATATTGGACATTACGGGTACATTTGCAACGTAAGCTAACCTTCTACTGTATTTAATAGTGGGTTATTCAAATATTACGATATCCTTTTGTGTTGTTGATATTTCTAAAAGGGTTTTTACACTGGAAAGAGAGGGAAGGACGTTAGCAGATAAATTAATAAATGGACTTAGACTTAAGTCACGAGACGTAGAAACATAACTCTGCGACAGTTATACAGCATAAAGTACATGTTGTATTTCCCATGTGTGCAGGCTCGCATCTACTGCAAGGCTAGTGGTTATTCAAATTTTTTAGGAGTTTATTGTTTAGTTTAGTTTGATTTTAGTTGTATTACAATATATTACAATATATTACAATATTACAAAATAAAAAAAAAATATGCACTGTCCGCAGTTAGCAAAGGCTAGTCGAGGCGGGCAGTGTTAATGCGTATATTATAAAATAAAAAGATTTACAGAGCAAGAGATTCAAAATTCTAGACAAATTACAACTACATTAATACAATTAAGATACGGCAAGAGAACAGAACAATCTGGGGTCTTATAGTTGTGCTATCAAAGTAGACAAATTAAAATAATCGTCTTGTTTTTCGAGTCTCTGGAGGAGGAAATCATGAATTTTACTATTAAAATTGTGTTTTGATCGTTGGAGCACTTCACAGGACAAGCTATTCCAGATTCTAACACCATTTCTTGATAATGCCCTTTTTATCACGAAACCCGCGTATCTCCACTAAAACATGACCGAAGCTCTGCGTGCCGTCGCGCTAGTTTGCTGACGAGACTGACGGGAGATAAAAATAATAACTGCTAATGTGGGATAACGACCGCAGAGCTTGGAGATCAACGGTAACAAACCTAATAGAATAAACCTAATAGAACCGTAACGATGCAAGCCCATGACTTACCAACGTTACGTTCCACATGAAAACGATAAAGCTGTGTAAATAAGATAAGCGAGTAACATACTAACGATGAAAGCAGTCTGGAAAGCGTATCATTATCCAGATTGAGGAAAAAGTACAGACAATGTAACCGAATAAAATGTCTGTAGTCGTTAAGCAGTCGAGAATGAACCGACAGCCCAATGCCTGACTCGATTCATCCCGGACGCAATCTAGTATTAAATGTCAGCTTGTCGAGCATGAAAGGACAAATTATTCTAAAAAGAAGAGGAGAACAAAAACTAGCATACTAGGAATTGACAGCCGTAATATTGATAAACTATGCTAAGGCGAATGCACCACAGGCAAGACAAGCGGCCCCTATGCGGAAACTATGACTTTTATTTCGAGAAGGGTCGAGTCCACAACAGGTTAAGCAACGGCGTAACTCAGAATTGAAATGGATGATACTAACAGTGCTCCCATCAGGAGAGCAGAAAAGTGGCCCGGGCTGATTGCCTCGTAAGGCTGTTATGAGCT